GCGGTACTACTGGTATAATCATGTATAATCTATACTACTCCGTCATATTGCATGAGAAATCAAGCATAATACCTATGACACTTGCCTATGAGCAGGCGCCTCGTTTCAGGGTGAATCGAATCTCCAGACTTGGGTCAAAAATGGACTGATTTGGACTAGCATCCGCTGGTCGGTTGATAGTGTTGAGAAAGTGAAACATGTTTGCCCTCGGCCAAAATGCAAACTTGCCGGAGCAAAAAGGAAGCACATTGGCCAACAGACAAGGCATCCACAAGGGTGCCCTGGGATTTGGCTGCAAAGGCTGCACTGACCTGAAACGCTGGCAAAACACACGACCGCATCCCGAGTGGCAAGGCGTTTTTCGGATTTTTTCGGAGGTATATCCCAACTTATGGAGTAAGTTATGGTGATTCTCATGGTTATATCATGTTACAGTATATCATGGTTGTATCCATCGACAACCCCCAAACTGAATCCCCAAGCAAGGTGACGGTCGTGTTTGCCAAGTTGCTAAACCTGCACTTTCAGCAATGTAATCCACTTCGCTGGATGATCCATCAATAATCAACACGCGAGCGTCCATCTTCTGCGCTTCAGCCTCAAAACAAACACAGGCACACCAGCATGTCACTTGACTCATCTTCGACTCTCCATCTTCGATGTGAACTCAGTTGTGCACTACCATACTATGCCATACTGAAGTGAGCGGAATTGTGATGCAAGACTATTAAGCTCATAATCATTATAATATAATGAGGGAAGATGCCTCCGGAAGTGGTTACGTGGATTCATGTTGTTCCCTGGGGTTTCTTTCCACCGCACTTGGTACCATGAGCCGGAGATGCCCCAAGTTCGCTCCTTCTAGTACCAAATTGCCCAGCGCGGCACATTTAAAACATTCAGAGGCTTGCAACTACATCAACTTGCATCAACATCACCATGATCACAATCAAATCATCTCCTTATCATTTCGTACCCAACACATTGCATTACGGTTCTTGCAGCCATCATCCTGATGCTTCCCAGCCTGGCGCTGGATCAAACATAGGCTGCAACTAAGTGTGGCTGCCAGCTGCCCCCCGTTTTTTGCTTCCAGCTTCACCGCCCTCAAACGGGCAGTCTCTCGCGCAGCCTTGCAGCACGCGCAAACTGTTGGGTGAGCAGCTGGGGCCATGGAGATGTTTTTTCCTTCTGTATATCTCCTGTTGTTTCAGAGTCTGTTTTGTATGCAGTATGTGACAGTACATACTGTAGTCCCTTCAGACTGGACTCATTTAAACTTGATTGATACCACCAAAAAATGGTTCCATGCCGCTCTATATACGGAATCACTCAGGCCCATCGAAGTTTTTGAAGTCCCCTTTCTTTGATCGTTGCATGGCGTTGTGTCGGCCACAGCTGGTCCCAAGGCTCCTCCCACTCTGAAGCATCGCAAATCTCCGAGAGGGGCACAGTGCCAGTAGCTGCCGCAAGGACCACCACCTCAGGATCAAAGGTTTCAAAGGTGAGTTCATGGTGAGTAGAACCCTAAGAACACATTTAAGACATGTTAAGACTTAAGAAGCATACAGATATGATATCAAATAGGATCAAATGAGTTGTGTTTTTTTGATTTTTTTGTTGTCTGGGCCCTTATACTCCTGCTTTGCCTACGCCACTGTCTACGCAATGCCTACGCGGCCAGTGGGAGCCTACGCGGATCATATACCTTTGAAGGTGTGCCTACGCAGGGCCAATGCCCGTGTAAAAATGATGGCACAACCTACTTGTTTGCCTACGCCTTCACACTCCCGGCAGCTTTTGGAAATCTGGGCAGGAACGTTTGCTTACGCGACCAGAGTCCCATCAACATTTTGCTAAGTGGCATGCCTTGCGGCACCCTGCAGGGGCACCAGCCAGCAGGCTCCAAACCGCACCTTGCTCCCTGCAGCAGCACAAGCACCCAGACTCCAAAACACCCATAGACATCTTGCAGCCACAACAGCACCCAGGTCCCAACGCGCACACTAAACATCTGGCAAATAGATCACTGAAGGCTCAGCTAGTAACTTTTGACTATGCTGGAGTCAAGCCAAGCGAAGTGTTCGGCATTCAACGTGCCAAAGGGCGGTTCTGCGCGGTTCAACGCGTCGAATATGGACTGGTTCGCGCGTGGGATGGTGGCCAATCTGCGCACCCGAGCCTACGCGGTGCCTACGCGAAGTCTATGCGAAGCCTACACCTGTTCCAGGGGTCCCCTGGCAGAAATCCGGTGAATCATTCGGCTCAAGCAAGAGCCTTATGGCCCTTATAGCAAAAAGCAGGTGGAAAGCGGAGAACATCAAGACTCCAGTCGGCATGGACAGCTAGCGGTTTAAGCTGCTCCGCTGCCCTTGTATAGCTGCTCTGCTGGGTTTGCTCCTACAGACGACTCTCCATGAATGAACCTGGTGCCTTTGAACCTTTTGTGGATAACACTGGATCAATTTTAAAGCGTGAGATTGCAACGCCGATCATGTACCAGCAATTGAAATACTGTACAATAAAATTGTCGCCTACGCGAACCAGAAATATGTGGAACCTTGAAATATGCCTACGCCAATCCTACGCAATCCTTACGCCAGCCATGTAAAACCACACCGAAAGCAACATCCAGTTTAAGCTGCAGATAAACCCCTTCATATTTAAAAAAAAACGCGGCTCAGATAGGATCAGATAGGATCAGATAGGATCAGATAGGATCAGATAGAGGGATTTTGAAGGATTTTGTCTCCTGCCTTCTGACCTTGGGAGAGCAGCAAATGGGCTCGCAGAAACAGCTGGAGGCTTTCCCATACCTCTGGAAAGAGCCCTTGTCCTGGAGCGCCCGGCAGCTCCTTGGATGAAGGGTGGGGCTGGGGAAGTCAAACCCTTCGACAAAAATCCTTGGTTTTTGGTGGGTAGACAATCAATGTGAAAAATATATATATAAATATATTAAATGAACATTGAACAACCAACAATGGTGGATGTGAAATCGAAGTAGCCGGCACTAGGCAGGAAAAAAATTGCCTGCTCCGCGCGGAGAACAAAACGACTGAGCGCCTATTTTTCAAAGCTGCTCAAGTCTACTTCAGCATCTTCATGTTTAAGCCAGCGGGGGGAAAACCGCGCCAGCGTTTATTGGCCGTTTTTGAAAACACACATATTTCATTCAGAACATGCACATCTCACGTTACGTCACTGGGTTGGGGGGTGGGGATGTTAACGTTCATGTTAACGTGCGTCACATGCACATCTCACGTTTCGTCACTTGGTTGGGGGGGTGGGGATGTTAACGTTCATGTTAACTTGCGTCACATGCACATCTAACGTTACGTCACTGGGTTGGATGGGGGTGGGGATGTTAATGTTCATGTTAACTTGCGTCACATGCACATCTAAGGTTGCGTCACTTGGTTGGGGGGTGGGGATGTTAACGTTCATGTTAACTTGCGTCACATGCACATCTAACGTTACGTCACTGGGTTGGATGGGGGTGGGGATGTTAACGTTCATGTTAACTTGCGTCACATGCACATCTCACGTTACGTCACTGGGTTGGATGGGGGTGGGGATGTTAAAGTTCATGTTAACTTGCGTCACATGCACATCTCACGTTACGTCACTGGGTTGGATGGGGGTGGGGATGTTAATGTTCATGTTAACTTGCGTCACATGCACATCTAACGTTGCGTCACTTGGTTGGGGGGTGGGGATGTTAACGTTCATGTTAACTTGCGTCACATGCACATCACGTTACGTCACTGGGGGGGGTGGGGATGTTAACGTTCATGTTCTTGCGTCACGTCACGTTAACGTTCATGTTAGCTTGCGTCAATGCACATCTCACGTTACGTCACTGGGTTGGGGGGGTGGGGATGTTAACGTTCATGTTAACCATGCAGTCCCCCGACCAGATCCAACGGCCATGTTAACCCAAAGTTGATGCGAAGCATCCGGGTGTGGCAGTGGCGTTGGATGAACTCCACGACCAAAGGTCTGATGGAGGTCACAGGTCAAGCCTTGAAGAGTCGTATGGCAATGTGAGTGGGAAAAAAATGCGCGAGTTTTCAGGCACAAATTCCCTGTAAATTACAGGTCATCGTTAAAAAACCACTTCAAAATCCCGGGGATTTTTAAGACCATTTTGGGGAATGAATCAGCAGTTTCGCTATGGCGAAAACGACATTTTTTTTCAAAACGCTCAAAACGCTGGCGCGGTTTTCCCCCCGGCGGGATGTTTAAAATTCCGGGTCTCCAAAATAGCCGAAAGACAGCTGAAGAATCCAAAGTGACAAAATGGGCTCAAGTGTAGGCTCGAGAGGATTCAGAGGTGCTTTAGTTCGCAACTCATGTTTCCACACAGCCGAGCAACCAAAGTACAGAGACGCGCATCCAGGAGGATGACCTCAGCCATGAACGACTGGAAGTGCTAAAATATGTGAACTGGTTTTCAAGAAAATCATGCTTGTAACATCTTGTAATCCGGTCAGACTCAGACCTCAGGTTTTTTCCACATGAGTTTCCCATCGATTTCCAGTGATCGAATTCGAACAGTTTGGGTTGCACTGTGGTCGCTTGATGTCGCTTGTAGGGCTTTGTCTGGGATTCACAAATACTCTGAATCCTACTTGATGCCACAGCACGGTTGGCGAGTAAGCGTCTCTGCTCTCAAGCAATGACAATAACGAATGCAATTTGCTCTGAAGAGAGCTGCATCTGTACTCAAGCAACTGTACTCATAATAATCTATATGCGCCTCATTCCGAAGAATCACAAAGCCAAATTAAATGAGGCAAAGCCCGGTGTACCAGTCAGCGATGAAGCGCCCACTGGCTTTCGGAGCAGTGCCCAGGATTTGTGTTGGAAATTGTGTACGCATGTCAAGGTCATCAAGCACCCAGCATGCCTGCCAACTTCCGCAAGAATGAATGCACCTCCAAATGACGGGCCCCGGGCTCCGACCAAGCTCGCTGTTCCACTATAGCCGCAGTCTGCATGATCCCGGAACCAAATGCGGTTGATGAACTTTTGCACGAGCCGATGCATGCAAAGCCGGGGCCCGCAACGCGAACCCTGAAAGATCCCAGGTTTTACTCCTATTGTAAGAACCCCTCAATGACACACTGCTTGGGGAATTTGACACGTCATGAAGAAGAATGGTGATGCCCAGCTGTCAACCCCATGGACCACCAGCAACCGCCAGTTCTGCATTCAAGCTGCCAAGAGCTCTGGAAGTCGGCTGATTTTTGTTGTGTCTCCTCAACAGGGAATCACAAATCCAAACACCGGATGTTGTTGTGGTGGATTGTATGGCACCTTGTGGCAGTTTTCTGCTGCTCTCGATGAAGGGTATTGAAACATGTAATGTAGAAATGAGATGAAATGAGGTTTTGATTATTATCTAATTATCTATAATTGGCGTCAATCAGCTTTGATATGATGCCGACACTGGAAAATCCAGGCAAGCATGCACAAACTAACATCCTTTGTTCTCAAAACCCAAAATTTCACGTGTGTCGCTTTGTTTGAAACATAGGAATAATGAAACAAGATGGAAACCACGAACCCGAATGTATTCACGTTCTTGGACTACGAGTGAAAACCTCTGCAATAGGAAAACGAACCTTTTTTTTCATGCATCGTGCGCTCATATCGTCTCAGCGAAGGCACCTGATCAACAGTTCACAAAGAGACAACCAACTCACAAAGAGACACACAATAAGAACAGATGATTCCACAAGTCAATTGGTTTAAATTCTGCACGTTTGCTACAGATATGATATGCTTGTCACGTATACTACATATCTAATCCTAAAGTCCCAACACAGGTCCGGGCCTTCTGCGGCATTGCCGTCCATCGTGGCGTTGTAAAGATCGCTGGTCTTGGAAAAAAACTTTTGTGAGACACTATTGGCAGACACTGCTGCAAGACACTCTTCGAAGACACTCTTGGCAGACACTCCCCCTTCAAAGACACAAAAAGACACAACAAAAACGCCAGCGCAACAAAATCACCAGCCCAACACAACGCAATCACCAACGCAACAGAGTCAACAGCACAACAAAATCACCTGCTCAAACATAGTCGCCAACACAAACAACATCACCAGCGCAACAAAATCACCAGCGCGCAACAAAATCACCAGCACAACAACATCACCAGCGCAACGAAATCACCAGCCCAAACAAATCACTAGCCCAAACAAAATCATCAGCGCAAACAAAATCGCCAGCGCAAACAATATCACCAGCAAAACAAAATCACCAGCACAACAAAATCACCAGCGCAATGAAATCACCAGCACAACAACATCACCAGCGCAACGAAATCACAAGCACAACGAAAGCACCAGCGCAACAACATCACCACCAGCACAACGAAATCACCACCAGCACAACAACATCACCAGCGCAACGAAATCACAACGAAATCACCAGCGCAACAAAATCACCAGCACAACATCACCAGCACAACGAAATCACCAGCACAACAACATCACCAGCGCAACGAAGTCACCAGCGCGCCAGCCACGCAAAAGAAATTTCGACACGGTATAAAACAGGTTGGAATGTCACGAAGCGCCACGCCTGCCACGCAAAACGACATGACAACCTGCTTAGAAACCTTCGAAAAGCTTCCCCCATAGGCACGGCGACGTGTCTAGAAAACTATAGAGACCCGAGACGAGACACGTGGGCGCAGCAAAACGAGCATTTCGTGCGAGACATCCTCCAATTTGGTACCATGGTCACTTGTGACCCTATTATCCGGTCACTTGCGACCCTATTCTACCCGGTCACTTGCGACCCTATTATCCGGTCACCTGCGACCCTATCCCTTTATTTACCCTCCCCCCCCCTGCGTTCCACCAAACCAGGGTCTCCATTCTACTTCTTTATTTAAACTTCCTCCCTGCGTTCCACTAAACCATTGTCTCCATTCTACTTCTTTATTTAAACTTCCCCCCCCGCTGCGTTCCACTATACCATGGACTCCATTCTACTTCTTTATTTAAACTTTTCCCCCCTGCGTTCCACTAAACCATTGTCTCCATTCTACTTCTTTATTTAAACCCCCCCGGCCCGCGTTCCACTAAACCATGGTCTCCATTCTACTTCTTCATTTCAACTTTCCCCCCCTGCGTTCCACAAACCATGGTCTCCATTCTACGTCTTTATTTAAACTTCCCCCCCCTGCGTTCCACCAAACCAGGGTCTCCATTCTACTTCTTTATTTCAACTTCCCCCCCTGCGTTCCACTAAACCATTGTCTCCATTCTACTTCTTTATTTAAACTTCCCCCCCCCTGCGTTCCACTAAACCATGCTCTCCATTCTACTTCTTTATTTCAACTTTCCCCCTCCTACGTTCCACTAAACCATTGTCTCCGTTCTACTTCTTTATTTAAACTTCCCCCCCTGCGTTCCACTATACCATGGTCTCCATTCTACGTCTTTATTTAAACTTCCCCCCCTGCGTTCCACCAAACCATGGTCTCCATTCTACTTTTTTATTTAAACTCCCCCCGCCCGCGTTCCACTTAACCATGGTCTCCATTCTACTTCCTTATTTAAACTTCCCCCCCTGCGTTCCACCATACAATGGTCTCCATTCTACTTCTTTATTTAAACTTCCCCCCCCTGCGTTCCACTAAACCATTGTCTCCATTCTACTTCTTTATTTCAACTTCCCCCCCTGCGTTCCACTATACCATGGTCTCCATTCTACTTCTTTATTTCAACTTCCCCCCCCTGCGTTCCACTAAACCATTGTCTCCATTCTACTTCTTTATTTAAATTTTCCCCCCCTGCGTTCCACTAAACCATTGTCCACATTCTACTTCTTTATTTAAACTTCCCCCCCCCTGCGTTCCACTAAACCATAGTCTCCATTCTACTTCTTTATTTAAACTTTCCCCCCGCTGCGTTCCACCAAACCATGGTCCAGATCCCCTTGAGGTAGTGTCCGCAGCCAACCCATCTGAAAAGGCAGCGGCCACATGTCTTCCAAAGTCAAAAAATTCTGTGTTTGCAAATACACTTCCACAACACGGCAGGAAACAGATGCACAGAACTACACGATTCTTGGTTTACCGTGGCCACGTCATCTAAGTCCTTGCTGGTCAACTGGCTTGGATGGCGCAAAAATGTGTAGCAAGACGAAAAGGGGGTGGATTTTGAATAAGAAGTACACATCGGGACTTGACACATGTGTAGCAAGGCGAAAGTGGTAGAGTTGAGATAACATATCTACCGCACGAGGCGGTGGCGGAAGTTTCCAAAGATAAGAAACCTATAGGAGTGAAGTGCGAAATTCAATAGATGTGAGAGTCAACTGATTTGAAATTCAATTGAATTGAATTTCAATTGATTTCAGATTCAATTGATTTGAAAGTCAATTGCTTTGAAACTCAATTGCTTTGAGATTCAACTGATTTGAGATTCAATTGATTTCAACTTCAATTGGTTTCAACAGGTAGATAGCTAGATCGATGGATAGATAGATAGATAGATAGATGGATAGATAGATAGATAGGTAGGTAGGTAGGTAGGTAGACAGATAGATCGATAGATAGGTAGGTAGGTAGGTAGGTAGCATTTAATACCGCCTTGTGCGGTACTACTAGTTACTAGTATCTCAAGCCTGCCATTTCCCGCTGTCGCAAGTCTTCCAGGTCCAGATCCCCTTGAGGTAGTCTCCGCGGCCAACCCATCTGAAAAGGCAGCGGCCACATGTCTTCCAAAGTCAAAAAATTCTGCGTTTGCAAATACACTTCCACAACACGGCAGGAAACAGATGCACAGAATTACACGATTCTTGGTTTACCGTGGCCACGTCATCTAAGTCCTTGCTGGTCAACTGGCTTGGATGGCGCAAAATTGTGTAGGAAGACGAAAAGGGGGTGGATTTTTAATAAGAAGTACACATCGAGACGTGAGACATGTGTAGCAAGGCAAAAAAGGGTAGATTTTAGATTAGAAGTACACATCGGGACTTGACACATGTGTAGCAAGGCGAAAGTGGTAGAGTTGAGATAACATATCTACCGCACGAGGCGGTGGCGGAAGTTTCCAAAGATAAGAAACCTATAGGAGTGAAGTGCGAAATTCAATTGATGTGATAGTCAACTGATTTGAAATTCAAGTGAATTGAATTTCAATTGATTTCAGATTCAATTGATGTGAAAGTCAATTGCTTTGCTTTGAGATTCAACTGATTTGAAATGAAATTGATTCGAGATTCAATTGATTTCAACTTCAATTGTTTGCAACTTTAATTGATTTGAGATTCAATTGGTTTGAAAATCAATTGATTTGAAAATTGATTTCAGATTCAAGTGGAAAGCTTGAAAACGAAGCTTTTCTGCGAGACTTCCTTCAAACATGGAGCTTCGAGCTCTAAAGCGAAGCTTTTCTGCGAGACTTCTTCCTTCACAAACAGAACTTCGAAGCTCTAAAACGAAGCTTTTCTGCGAGACTTCCTTCAAAAATGGAGCTTCGAATCTCAAAAACAAAGCTTTTCTGCGAGACTTCCTTCAAAAATGGAGCTTCGAATCTCAAAAACAAAGCTTTTCTGCGAGACTTCCTTCAAAAATGGAGCTTCGAAGCTCTAAAACGAAGCTTTTCTGCGAGACTTCCTTCAAAAATGAAGCTTCGAAACTCAAAAACAAAGCTTTTCTGTGAGACTTCCTTCAAAAATGGAACTTCGGGCACGAATAGGGTCACAAGCGACCACAAACTGGACACAGTTACTTTATGTGACAGGTGTGGGACTCCAAGCACACTTTGTCACTTGCGACCCTATTTTTTATGGTTCAAAACGTAGAAACAGTGAATAGGGTCACAAGCGACCAATGTACCTCCAATTTTGACACTTTCGGCACGTTATCAAACAGGTTGGAATGTCACAAAGTGCCACGCTTGCCACGCAAAACGACATGACAACCTGCTTGGAAACCTTCGAAAAGGAGAGGTTTTGCAGCTTCCCCCATAGACAC